GTTTTTTCGTGCTGAACATTAGCGTTTGCTCAAATTCTGTGTAGGGCTCAATCTCAAGAGCATGAATTGTGTTCATTTATCCATGAGAGTATATAAACACACAGACGTTAAAAAAACGAGCGAAATGGGCATCGAAACATAGAATGAACATAAAAACGAAATGGCCGCAAGTTAACTGTGGTGGGCTACTTAGCTTCCATAGTTGAGCTTCCGAATTCAAAAATGGTGCCTTTTAAATACAAACTGAAAATTATAGCTTGTCCCACTCCTGAGCGTAGCGTACGAAAAGACGATTATTAAGATCGGTGGATATCTTGGACTAATAGCCAGTATAAAAGCTTTCTAGCAATTTACCACACGGCAGCATCTATAACAGAGAAACCTCAGCCTTCCCCTGTGAACATCCTCAAGCCAAACAAAGCAGCTCACAGATTTGTTAACGATGTTTGTAACAACGTAGGGCCACTAAACATTGCTTGCCAACAAAGTCGATCACTTTAGTTGCTCATCTCGGAGCAATTAAATTCGAATGTTATTTAAATTGTGGATCACAATCGCTTCGAAAGGCCTAGGCTGTGCTATTTAGATGAATGGCATAACCTATGATTAATTGATGTAATTAAGGATAAAAGAAAATGTCCCGATGACGAATTTCTAGAGTTTCCAAGGGCTACATCGTTCCTTTGCAGCACTGATTATATGAACAGGAGTATGCCTAACAGGTTTTCTATGATAATGACTTTTCATTAGTCACCTTACATTTCTTATGCTTCAGAGTAGCATATCCACTTTATACATTGCCTTACGGAACTAGAGTTCTCGTTGAACCTGTATGCAATTAGCGAGGCATAAGTGAACAAACGACTGAAGTTTGGCCATGATGTGTCCGATTGTGTCCCGTCTACCGAACTCATCCCTTGGTAACAGCCATACGCATGCGCGATCTTCATACGAAGCGCTCACATTGCGCCTTATCTAAACGACAGCTAGAGCTGTTCAAATAAGCAACGGGTCACAGTTTATGTGACCCGTTGTTTGTTTAGTCAAATTTATCTTTCTATAGACATCCAGCCATTATATTCATGAGTTTTTTGCACTCAGCCCCTGCTATCACATTTGGCGTACGCTTTGACTCAGACGCAATGCCTTGCATCGTACTATTATATACATGTGCAACTTGTAAACTATTATAGGTCGGTCTACTGACTGTCATGTGAAGACTGAAAAGGGCATTCGACCGCCAACGTTTTCGCTAGCATCTTGAAACGCTAGGGTATGAGATGGGCGCTGTCACAAAAGGCATACGTTAAATTGATTAACTGAACCAACAGAAGCACCCAGAACTAATGAGGAATGGGGCTAGCGCGTTGCCCGCGGAGCAAACCCCGTCACCAACACTGACAAGCTGGCATGTGGTTTGGCCAGCACCTTCGTAGGCGATAAGCAAAATAAGGGACGAAAACGTTTCAAGAGCTAAAAGCCTCTAAATAACTGACAAGCTATCTTTTGACACTCAGCTTGTGACGATGAGTTCATCTTGCTATCGATGCTTAGGCAAACAAAAATGCATCAGTAAGTAGCTCCCACCAGTTAGCTTGGTGAACAAAGCCATTATAGAAAGAAAAACAAATAGTAATAATTTAGATTGAAGTGTCAACCACCATCGTTACAAAGGTTATGCCTTAGAACACAAATATTAAACGAAAAACAATGTTCGAAACGGCACTTCTACGTCAGCGCGTAGGGACTAATGTTTAGCAGATTGCTAAACTTACGCCATTGCTATCATTAGACTAGCCATAAACATCGTGTCCCTTTTATCTAAGTATTGGCCAGTACATAGATTTCTTTCAATATACATAAGATCTTAATGCACTCAATCTCGCCATTATTTTACACACTTTTGCTTTAGCAATAAGCCAGGAGATTAAATGGAAAAAGCTTATATGCATATTACTAAACACGTTACAATTAAAACAATTCAATTGACAACTATATAAATCTACATAAGAAAAAGATCTTATTTCTAACATTTTATATTGTATGTATATTAACTCAACTTATTGTGTCGTATAGGCCAACTTTGTTTTGTCTCAGATTTGCACGTTATTTTTTACGTAGTGCACAGCCTAAATTTCAACTGGGAAAACAAAAAAGAAACTGTCGAAAGTTTTGTGCGATCTACACTGCGGCTGTGTGACTAAAGTTGATTACTCTACAAAGTGCAAGGCAAGACCTTCCTATTAGAGACAGTTTTGCCGAACTTGAAAACATAAGTCTATTTCAAGTTTCGATAGAACCGGGCGAAGGGTTTGAAGTTATGGAAATTATTAGAAGTAGAAAAGTGCCCTAAAAGTTGTTGAATTGTTAAAAAAATAACGACGTTATTAAAACGAATGTCAGTGTGGGTAGCTGAAACGCATCCCCAGAATTTGTAATTCTACATAAACACAACACGCCGATTCTTTTCCTTAGAATCAAATGACCCTCTTCCAGGAGTTCTGGGACTCGTTTTTGTGCCAATTGTAAACTCCAATTTTGGGTTCTGATTTGGGCCATTGACTAAAAAAATGCAAGCAAATCCCTATCGCTGCAGCCGACCGAGACAATCCATTCATGAGATACTTACGTCGTTTTATTGTTGAGGGTTTTGCCGTTGTTAAAATCACCTATTTGTCGACCTCTAATAAGATTTTCAACCGCATGCGTTCTACTTTACGTTGCAAAATCTCAACGCTCACTTGTTCGCTGGATTCTCACAGTTTTCGTGGCTTTATATTGCTAAATGACTGGATTCACTACCGGAAACGCTCTTTCTGCGTAAACAGTAATTATATTTTCATGGCACATTTGCAATATTGACTTCCCAGAGCTCTCACTCCTCTCCTTGCCTTTTCCCTTGTAATACAGCCGTTTACAGGACCAAACAAAAAATCAGACTGCGATGAGCAGCTGGTCGATATGTTTATGCGGCATATATAACGCTAAAGAAATGTTAAACTCGAGCGCCTGGTCTATAATGAATTCTTTTAACGCTCCTTGAAGGTGTTTTTTTTTTTTGCTAATTTCATCGTTACTTTGAAGTAAATATCTGTTTATGTCGACCCAATTCATGTTTACAGAATTGTACTAAGTAATGGTTGATTTTTTTAGAAGTATAACTTGCTTTCCGCTTTATTTTTCAGACAAACTTATCCGAAACAACAGGGCGCTCGAATATTTTTGGAAACCACTGCGTCTCCAGATGTAAGGGTACTCTAACTAAAACATTTCAATGTTTTGGCTTGACAATTGCGTGTAGTAAGGCAGTTAGCTAGCTAGGATGCATTGGACTCCTTAAAAAACGAACATCCCTGTTTAAAATGAACGGACTATTTCGAGTGATTTACAGCTTTTACATAGCAAGATTCGACTGATCGGTTTGATGGAGTGTCTTTAGTATGTCCCGTCGAATCGGTGAATTGATAAAAAAAAAAAAAACTATCGCTATATAGATTTAAGAAAAACAGGATGAAGAAAAGATAAATATTGCATGGCCCAGCACATCTCAATGATATTACAGCCTGTTCGAACGATACGTTGGATTTAAAGAAGAGATATAAAGAGATACAATCTTTCGAAAATAATACGTGATCAAGCGCTTGCAAAGCATATCAAAGACGTGACTTATGTTGATATCAACTGCTCATAGTAGGCTTCCTATTCAGTTCCACTTTATAAGCAACCCTACTAATTATTGAAACTGATAAATTGACATTACGAACGTTATCTAGGGCTTAAGTCCATCTTGTGTGTGACACAATGGAGATTTTTACGCAAGAGAAAGTTGAAATTATGCGAAATGACGAATAAAATACCTACGGTATAGTAAACTGTCGTACTTGTGTCGATAACGTATGCAGGAACAGCAGAATTTTCACCGTCGATAGAAGAAAAGGGGGAGCAAAAATCGGTAACAAACGTAGCTTTATTCAGGTAGGTAGAAGATAACAGTTATGCGCAGTAACAGCATGTAATTCCAGCTTCAGAAGTATAGAGACTAGACATCTCCGAAGTAACAGAACATATGTAAATTATCGCTGGGGAATAAAAATTTCACTGCTGTAAAACGTTTGTAATAGAGGCATCATAGTGTTACTGCACTACAAGGCATTTTGATACTAATGTTTTGATGTTAAAACGTAGAATTATAGCCGTCGTAAAAACATTATAAGGTGTGACCTTTACGGCAAATGTGTTTCACAATTAACTTCACCACTAAAAAATATACGTATCCATTCTATTATAATTGACCAAGGGAATTGGTGATAACTACCAGCTAACGTTTCTTTTTCTGTTCTGATAGAAATATTTTAAGATAAATGAGTACTTCCATGTTTTACTGCATAAGCAATAAATAATGTTGCGCTATAGTCACAACATGTTGCTTTCCTTGCGTCGGCGGAGGGGTCAGAGGCGTATATATATATATATAGTAAAAAAGATATATATTAGTGTAAAAGAAATATGTATTTTCTTACACTAATATATACACTGCAGTACCATTTCTCTTCCATAACAGACTCAGGCGGTATTATTTAGAAACGTAACCTAGTGACGGCGGCACGCGTTCTAAGCAAATACGCGTGTTCATTCAATCTGTCCTTCAAATGGATAAAATAAAAGAAGTAAATAGAGTTCCTTACTCACATAATGAACTTCCGTTGCAGCAGCCGCCCGCTTGGCCTTCTCATCAGGTAAAGGAAATAACGATGAATCTGATTGGTCATCTTGATTCGGTTAAATATGTGTGTTTTTTAGTACGATCGTGGTACGGGCCTATTAGAGTGACATCGCGCAGAGAAATAACACACCTGCTGCGATAACGTAGCATGCGCGTCAGTGTCGCTTGCGTCTGTCAAACGTCCACGGGCAAAATAAATATTTGGTGTTAAACTTTACGCCGCTTTACTTACCCACACGGTACGCGGTTGTAGCAGTCATCGACGCGGCTCAAGGACGAACGGCATATTATTCTGGCGTTCAATTCAATAAATAATTTGATCGTATTGGACGTTAACGTACTTTCGAGTCATAAAGCAAATTACGGCGGATTCGCAATTTGCCTTTGTGTTCTTCTAGCAGTACTAGGAGAAGGACGCATGATAGGCGATGATGGCAGACTTGATATTAGCGCTAGGACGCAGTATTGGACTGTCCAAAATCGAAAGAAACCATATCGCTGTTAATACTACCAACCATTTTAGCGTTTCACGTTTATAACAGCCAGCTGGAGAACAATCTGTGCGTGAATGATCTGAGTTGTTCACTAGTGGATTATTCTCACGGAGGGCCGATTTGTAGTTTTGAGCTAGGCTAATAATACGAGGTACGAAAGAGGCCTTAAGACTACTTTGATCAAGTGGACGGTTTATCTCTACGTTCTAAAATTCTTACTGGTTTCCGAAAGCCCTGCTGTTTGGTAAAGTTAGTATCTCCCTGTGAAGAAATCGGTGACCACCAGGTCATTGGGTGAGGTGACGGCAGAGCACAGTTCGCGCACAAGAAATCCTATCGACGCCGTTGAATTTCGGATTACTCTTCGGAAGGTGTTGACTTGTACTGGGATATTTACTTCGTTCTTCGTGTGACGCCATTTTCGTGCATGTGTGCGCATCTCTTTGTCAGGGAACTTGAAACAGCGACCCTTGACTTCTGTTCCCATTCGATCAGCTATATAGTTCGAGCCATACATATCGAGCGCTTAGAAATTAAATCGACATGTATTCTGGAGGCATATGACATTAAATCGATAGTACACAGGAACTACTTGGCTGAGATTCGATTCTTTGGCTGTCTTCACGTGTCGTTTCACTTGCTATTACCGCTGTTGATGCCAATAACAACAATCAAGACTGCAATTATGTAAAAGGTAAAGGTCCAGTTTAATTCCATTGCTTTGACAGCAGCAGAATAGACTTCGTACGCAAAAAAGTACGGTCACAACTTGTAATCCATTAGGTATAGATGATACATCCTTCAATGAGTCGCGTTATTGCAGCAAAATTGTTGCCGCGTTAAAAATTTTACTACAGTATGATGACATCGTATTCATGGCGAGTCGGGCAACCATCTGGTTATCACTCTCCGAATTTATTTTCTCGTGCTTCCAAGCCGGTTGATTTTTCCACCCCTGACATAATGATTACATTATTGCAAGATACGATTAGTGAAGTTCTAACAGTAATTGAACCTGACACTTACTTAAAAGTGAGCCACCTGCCAGGTATTTTTCTGCTGCAGCAGATAAATCTGCAAACTAATTGCGTCTGCCCCACTGCGTGCAGCTTTCTTCTAATTTATAGAATAAAGAGAAACAATACTAAGACAGCGAACCGGACTGGGCCATGGAAGGAACACCAGCGCAGTCATAGAACCCCAAAATGGCACAGCTACTACTCGAGCTGAAACACCCATCCAAACACTAAAAATGACTGCTCACTAACAAAACTCCCGCGATTAATTTGCGGCATTTGCTGAAAGGCCTGAAGCGCAAGCTCATACGCTCACGAACCTTCATACAAACTCCTCACACACCCTTACATTCCACCGGACATACGCCCGTACGTAAAAATCGTTTCAACTTGAGGTTAACGAATGATTCGACTCGTTGACTAGGGTACTGCCGCTCCCTTGTCTAACACCTGGCTAAAAATACAAACGCTCACCGACCGTCGCGATAGTTTTCCTTGGGTCGTCTATCGACAACGTAGACTTTTACGTATACATCCGTGGAACGCATCTAGACATAAGCATTCGACAGGAGCAGCGACAACAACGACAGCATCAACAACAAATACGAGTTGTCGTCGTTGTTACTATACCCGGGCAATTTATTTAGTTACATATCTATTTATCTTTTTATGTTGCCCGTCGTTTTGTGTTGTGCACTGACGGAGGCTATCTGTGGTGGCTAATCTTAAGTAAATCCATCCGGCTTAACTTCTACGCCGATTTTCGGCGAGAAGCAGCAATTCTGTGTTCTGCGACGAAGAAACCAAGGATCCCTAGCCATAGCATACCACGTAATCTTTCTCTCTCTTTGTCTCGCTCTCTCTCTTTTCGTTTGCTGACGGAGTTGACATAGCTTCATGAAAATGTATGTGTCTATAATTAGAATTATTGGTATCCTGATCGCAATTGATATTATTTTACCTCAAATGAACTATCAGAGTGGTAAGCAGGCAAATAATGATGATGCGCTTAATTTACTCGAATCTAGTCTTTGCCAGACAGCAACATCGTAGTGTAGTTATTTCACGAGTTCTAGCTGGAAGAAGTTGTTGAAAACTGGCAGGTTTGTCTTAAGTAGAACTTTTTTCACCACGCACTTTTGCAGTCAGACTGGATCTTGATCTTAAAGGTTCACAGAAAACATAGTACACACGAGCATCGGAGAAGACACCCCCTCATATCCGGCACATTATAGTTGCCAGAAGTACACATTTTCGACACCCTAATTAGATTTCAGCAACTTTCACACCGAGCAGCACTTGAGTGTCTGTTATGATTCTTTGAATCCGTTCTGCGTATCCGGAGAGAGTGACAAGTATGGGCACGACTTTGACCTGGAATTGTGAGGTTCTTAACAGCGTTGCGTTTTTTCTCGACTCGTTACAAGAACCCGTTTCCAAGTCCTGAATTTATACCACATCACCTCGTTGCCCACAGCAGTTTTCAGCCATTATTGTGCAGAACTCAACAAAAGTCCACGAGCAACAGGCACGTACGCAACCGGCCATAAATACCTGCTGCTGTTTCTGAGACCTGATCCAATTACTCGCGTCGCACGTAGCCGAGACATGCAGCTTCGAGACTAAATGACAAACGCTCCAGCAGAGACCAAACCGCCTTACAGTTTAGTGCATTTTTCATTTAACCAGTTCTTTGGGTTGCCGACGCACTACTAGCGGTACAGATGCAAATATATTGGGTCGCTCAAATATGTAATAGTAAATTGTCACTTTTCATATCTTTTTTATCGGCATAGTTACGTTGTATTCAAGCAGAGAATGCACCGTCACTATCTATGACCTGCTGTTTTTTTTCGTCATTTAGTTAAGTCGTTTAGTTACATTACTGTAGAAGTTCACGCAACGAGACGAGAATTTCGTAATAATAATAACGTAATAATGTAATTTGAACATTTTACTGATACAACCGATTAAGTTGTTGTCGATATTTTGAAAAAATAATCTGTGGGAACAATGTCTGGCTAGCGTGATTCCTGACAGAAAATCTCCAACCCTTGCATTATGACACCGTAGTTGTCGCTGTGTGAGACTGAGCGAAGTTGTGCAATATAAATGGCTTAACGTTTGAGAAGAAACTTCAGCCGTTATCAACGAACCAAAAGAAATAAGACTGCCTTTGCTAACATCTGCACCATTTAAACAACTGTTCATTCGCTTTAGGGTGAATTAGTGAAGAGCGACTAATTATACGAATCCAATTATGAGTTTTCTACTAACTACGATAAACATTATTGACAACGTAGAAGAACAGAATAACTTATTGACGATTCAGTAAGTTCATTTGTTATTTGCCCTCATCTGATCAACAACATAATGCTTTTGTCATTTAGATGCATAACACTTCATTTTAGACTTTAGTTTTCATTACACTTTTGGTATATCGGAATAATATAAAACTAACGTTGATTTCTAATATGTGACTGACTTTCGTGCTGGAGTACTTTTCAATATCGTTAACGGGTTTTTGAGTTTTGTCATCAGTTGCAGCAGCATCATTTTTCAAAAAATTTATAGAACACTTCAGAATAAGCCTATATCTCCTGTATCAACTCATACATATTCATCAGCTGCCCGATTTATGCAAAATGTATATAGTGAATACATGCAAGCGTTTTGTTCAATTTATCAATTTTATTGCGAGATTCATGCATACTGTATTGCCATGTTGAAAGATAACTAGCGTGACATTTGAAATATAGCGAACCGTTTTCCAAATACAACTGTCTGTTGTAGCCTCTCGAAAATTTTCTCTCATGCACTTCAGTACGCGTGGTTTCCCTCCTCTACAATGGCGTATGCTTAACCTATTGGCTACTCGTAATATTTACTCTTCATCTGACTCTAATTTTATGCGCCCGTAACGCAATCGTCCGGTGTGCATTACTTGCTTCAAAAGTGTTTTTGTTCAAACAGCTGACAGTCTTTTTTATCGATCAGGTAACGCGTGTGAAAAAAGGGCGATAAGGGACAATGCGTTGCGTCAAGGTGCTACGTGAGTTGAAAATCCGTATATTTCGCTGTACAGCTTCGAGACTAACGAGTGTGCCATGCTTTTCTTTTCTATTGACGTTACGTATAGCCGCGGCCCAATAGTAGTTTACTCATAACTATCCTAACTATTGTTGCTCTATGTATAAGCTAATTATTCTCGCCTTGACTGTGCTCCATTACGGTTCGACTTGGCATCTACAATATCAGTTAATTCAGTTGCTTAAGCTATAGACCTATTAATTTTCGACACACTTTTTACTTGGAGTAACTGCGAAAAAATCTGTTCGCACACGTACTTTTAGGCAGTGATTGGCTGATAAGCTAAATGGTCTTGTTAGTTATGCTAATAAAGTACAAAAATTTTTAAGCTACAGGCTTGAATGATTTATTCAGGTGTATTTGATTAGGGGAGCAGAATTACTTACTCGTTACGAAATTTATCGAAGCATACCATTTTTTTAACGGTGTTTAGGCTAAAATGTAGTTTATTAGTGTGGTGCTTCCAATCGGCCCTGCAGCCCTCCTGTGATGGTCACACCGCATACTGCTGACAACACGATTAGTCTGTAGGGCGCGTAGATGTTTTTTTTGGCGGAAAGTCTATTCCCTGGCTAAATGATAGAATAATACTCATGTGAGGGTAACTAACCACGGACCTATTTATATATAACTGTTTCCATGTCAAGTATACTATGGTTCGAGGCTGATGTTTCAATACATGATCGGGATACTTGAAAATCAAACCTATTTTTAGGAACGACCCACCTTATTAGAGAATTTTGCAAGTAACAACAGTGCTCATTATTCTATACTGCTGTACAATACAATTACGGATCGTTCTGTCGAAAGCTTCCGAGAGAAGTCGTTATTTCATTCACGTAAAGATATTCAAGCCTTTATTTTTTTAAAACGACCTGCAGTTTTCTGCACATACTGTTTTAAATAATTAATTTTATTTTATCGTATATTATTGTAATGCGTACCTAGCAGATACATATTACGAAAACTCATTGTCCTTCTATGATGCCGGCATAAAAATTATATATTCCACACTTCTTTTCATTCCAATGTCCCTAAATAATCATCAGTAAATTGAAGCAAAACCTGCAAATGATTCTGTTTTGGATGATATTGCCAGTATTAAGTTCTGTTGTCAGAGCTGATTCCAATAACTGAAACAGACATACCCTTAGCGTACGTTGATTTAACAAAAAATGTAAGATTTGATCTTTCGAACAGTAAAACTTCGTTTGACCTATATCGGCATGTCTATATTTTTGTCACGTTTTCGTTTACTACGTATTCTAAAAAGCAGACTACCTGTTAGCTTTACACAACGCAGCGAGATGTCAGTCGTTTTAAACCATTCGGATCATTCCTAATTACCTTCGCCTCATGTTCTGCGTACCATTTGCATGCTTCGTAACGTGTGAAACTGGTTGATTCGTGAAAGTCGTTATGCCTTCGATATTTATGCTCATTGCCAAAAAGTATCTTGTATTGAAAAATGCAAGATGGTAACGCTTTTCAGAAAGAGTTCAAAATTTCTTTTGAGCACGATGCTAATAACGTGGCGCAGTATAACGGTCGAATGGTTAGTGTGTTAGTCTACAATGGCTAGCAAAGGCCCTGAAGCTACATGCAGATACATTTTGAAACGGTCCGTACGCTTGACCACACTAAAAGTATGATGTCAAAGGAAATCGATCTCGTATTGTTGTTAGGAGACGTAAGCTGAATACAAGGTGCACGTGACAGGACGCTCAGGGGCTTGCACGCTCCGATGGAGACGAAAACAAGAGAAGTTTGCTGCTTGCAAAAATATCTCTCCTTGCTCCCCGTCTTGACAAGAAAGTTGCCATCTTAGTCTGTATTTAGAGAGCAAAAAATTAAATCAAATTGCACTATATGCACTTTTTGCAGCCTTAAATGTTGGTTAATAAGGTTGCTTAAGCTCTTGAACAATAGTATATAACTTTCATTCTAAATTATGTATAGCCAAAAAAAAACAAAAGAAAAATCCAGTTAACAAGAAATTAAACTTCTATTATGACAGAGATAAATTGATGAAGTAGCACTACCAATGTCATTTTATAGTCTGCTTCATATTTCATGCAGTTGAAAGTAAGGTAATACATTATTCAGCTTATTAGTATTCGTTAGTAAAATTAGAAAAGATAGATATGATCGAACCTTTATTATCGGTAGAAGCTATAGGTAATAAGAGACAAGAACACACGAAAAGCTAAGTATCATAAAATGTTTTCAATCATACTGAAATCCTAAACTCATTGATACTATCCGTGTGGCAGTAACGATACAGAATTGAGTAAGGCCCTTCACCGATCGGTATTCTGACAGTACTCTGCTTGGCAAAAGCTGAATCTGGGATGACGGAGGCAGTAAACAACGCTTTGATATAATATAATGTTTTAGTATAGAGCATTAAATGGAATTAGATTTGGAAAATTAATGAAAATAAACGATAGTAGTTTTATACGAACCTTATCAATATGTACTGTACCACAGTTTCCTACGTGCGAACTACTTACACCTAGGAGTTGATAAATCAAGCAGCTAAGTTAGAGATTTGAACTTTCAAAAAAGGTAATAGCACGAGTCCTATTGCTAATAAGTACCGCCACAGATAAACAGTAGCTCTTATATTAAAAAAATATATCAAAAGTTTATTACATTTAGTTGCATGACCAGTGTACTATTCGAGTGCTAATTAGGGTTCTAAATACAGAGTATGTATACAAAGAAAACGCAGGTAATTTAGCAAGTAGACAACAGACATTAACAAATTAGGCGAATGAAGATCTGTTCAGCTTGTTTATTAAAAGAAAGTCTATTTGCTCAATTCAGTTTCTGGCCTCCTGGTTTCAGCTTCAGTGGTTTGATCCAGTAGAGGTTTCTGGATTAGAGATTATGCATTTACATACGCACACATACCGTGTATTTTGTAACCAATAACATCTCTTGTTTATATAAGTGCCTAACGCTCTGTGTCTTAATAAGTTGTTTTAATCAACTCATTATTTGTAATAACGGTCACTACTAGTAATAGTAATCGTTGAGATATATATGGTCTATTAGTATATACGCTTTTCTTTTATATACGACGCGTACTGAAATTGGCAATCGTTGAATTTTTTTTTGGTCATTCAAGCTTCAAAAACACTTGTACCGTAATATCATTTTCAGATTCGGGTATCGAGATACGATTGTTAATGTGCTTGTTTCTGTCACTGCTATGGTGATTACGAGGCCTATAATTACTGCTCTAGCCTTTAACGACCGAGCCGACCACAAATGGTTTATAGTGCTACTCTGTTTAATTACAAAAAAAAATCCTGTGTGGACCGTAAAAATCGTACGTGAAAAGTATCATTTCGAATAATTTGCTAATAATTTTTATTGCGCTGACAGAAACATACATGTAATCTATTTTCAATGGTAAAGTTCGCCAGTGAGCAAAGTAGGCAAACATACGATCAATCTAGGTGAAATCCTTGCAGTATAAGAAATATGAAACGTTAACTCAGTCGTGAAGAAAACGTTTTTATTGTGAATTCTGATCGTCGAAGTAAGTTCGCACTTTTTATTGGTTGCAAGTAGATAGCTTGTAGCCAAGTATTGTATGTAAATTACTTGAAGTTAGCAAATTCCAATGGTCTAAATTAAATAAATTCAAACCAAGAACACCTAAACAAATGTTGTGATAGCAATATACAAATAGAAGGACACATTTCGTGAACCCCATGTACTGGTAAGGTTTCAGGTTTTGCGGCTAGTACTGCTTTCAACTGTTACTGAACACGTTGAGTTTAACATAGGTTGAATATGTTCTATGCCTTACTTCGTGTTAGGGGGTCGGGTATATGTAAGACAAGAAATTTAGCTAAAGTTCCTTCAGTAGTTTCACTGGCTACCATTTATGCCGAGAACTTATAAGTTTTGCTCATATGCGAGTCGAAATATCGTTACAACAGATAAGTGTTTCACCTGAAACCTTGTCTTTACATTTTTTACCGTATAGTAACAATCCAATTCAATTGCACTATTATCGTATTGTGGAAAATCTGTGGTATATTTCGTACGAAATAAGAATCATATTTTGAAATAACTGAATTTGCATAATCCGAAAAAATATTATCGAAAGGTACTCGGGAACAATTGAATTTATCCAATTACTACCCAAATACTAATAAGCCTATATTTGTGTGAAAATCAACGTCATGCGGAAAACGTGATGATCTGATGTCTGTTTTTATTAATTTCCTAAATATATTGATTTGTATATATTGTATAGGCTACTGAAACGCATCGTTTATCCCTATACTTTATAAATGGTCATTGCGACTGTCGGCTCCATGAGGAACCGCTAACATTGCATGGAAAACATTAAGAAACTTTGCTTGAGTTGAGCTTTATTAGAAATATATGGTTTTTTCCTATTATGATTGTCTGTGTTAAAACGTTACTGCAAGGGAGTAAGTATTCAACAGCGTCTCTGCCCAACCATACCATTGAGACCCTGCAATAGTATTACGGTGGCATTTTATTGTAACTTATTTATTACTTTATTGCGGAGGATAATCTTCATTGCATTTAGGAATCAGATAGAAAATAGATGACATCTCCTGGTTTTAATTATGTTAAGCCTTTTTTTTTTTTCATTAACAGAAAGTGATCTAGCTACCTCCTCCTTGGAAAACACACGTGTAATTTCTATGCGTTACCAATAATTTGGGGAATAGAAAATTATCGGGCAACAATGACTGAGTAAAAACGATTTACTCTGAACGGAGTGCAGTCTTAGGGTAGCTTCAAGAAATAGAGAGCAATTGTTCGTTTGACAACTTTCGTCTGCTGCACAGGGTTTACTTGTTGGTATCTTGGAGAACGTAGAAAGGTGCACATCAACAGTCACCACGGGCTTAAAAATCACAATTCGTAAAAATATTGTTTACATTTAGAGTTAGATCTACCTAGATC